AGGGCTTTCATATTTATCTAACATGTAAGAAACATAGAAAACTCACATCAAATGTCATCATTGAAATGCTGTTTGCAGATACTAAGTTACATAGTTTAGAAGAACGCCACTTACATCAAAGAATACAATATTACGATTAGCATATCTATCATGACGATCAATACCATCGAATCTTTGTGGAAATTGGACATAGCAGAGCTTCTTTCCTATCTGGGGGTCCATTAAAAAGCACATGGCCTCTCTTATAGCCTTGCTATTGTTTATGTAATGGTCACAATCCAGATTCAGCATGAAAGGTGCATTTGAAAGCACAGCTGAAACTCGAACCTTTAAAGTATAGACAACAAAGAAAAGTCATATTCTAGACATAATTTCTACTCTTCTTGTTATACATGTTACTATTTTGTACCTACCAAAGCATTCATAGCACCAGCTTTCTTGTGGTGGTTATAGCCAGGACGCTTTTCACGTGAAATATACACCAGCCGTGGCAGTTCCTTGCCTTCTACGTCCAGTGCACCACCACTTCCTAAATACACCTGCAATAGTAAGTTCATGAACCACATCACCAGAGAACCAGCTTTTCCAATCATTAGCTTTTCCAATCTAAGGAAAGAAAATTTGTAAATCATAAGCGTTATTATATTTTCCTTTTCTCTATTTTCTCGAAGAATTAACCAAGAGGGACAAAAATTATAGATATTCAAATGTTCCTATATTATGGTTTATTTGTTCCATCATGATTAGACAATGAAGAATGCACAACACAAGAACTAGCAAGAGGATTTGAATCATAGCCAAACCTGAATCATTCCTGGATGATCACGAGTACTGTTGCCAGGCCAAGGGGTTCCATCCTGCATCACCCACCCGTCCTCAGGCTTCTTCTGAGCTTTTGCCACTAAGGAGTTAATTTTTACTTTAAATTCTTCATATTCTCTCTGCAGTGGAGAAAACAAAAAACAGAAGAACAGTTATAAATGAAGCAAAAAAATGATAAAGGATTTCCATTATATATCAAGTAGAGATTACCAACATCATGTTATGTTAGGTCTTTCGAAGGGATTCATAAAGAGATTGAACAGCAACATATACGAGTCCTTTTCATTAAATATTGTTTAAAATTTTCATTTCCACTCCATATAACAGATCATAATAGTTTGATCATGTAATAATTTCTTAGAAACACGCAACCTTTTTGTCCTATCTTTATGGCCTACCTTCATGGCCCTTCGTTCCTTCACAAAGGTAGGCTGCACCTTATCTTTCAAGTAATCAATCTTCTGAGAAAAATAGAACTCCGGTGCCCTTGGCTCTATGCTATACTTCTTACAAAAAGGAACCCATCTTCGTGCAAACTCAGAAGTTTCTGAAAGTGCATCAAAAAGGAGCATAGACGCACCATCATCAGATACATAGCAACACACCTTGTCAACCGGGTAATCAACAGCCAGGATTGAAAGAACAGTGTTTGTTGTTATAATGGGAGGCTCTTTCAAAGGGTCCACAGTACTCACATAGACATCAACTGGGGCTAGAAGGTTTGGCTCCCCTTCACGCTCAAACCTCATGGACAAGCGATCCAAGTAAGTTTCACGAGTTATGGGGAACCATTTGGGGAACTGGTCAAGTATCCATGACAGTGCAAACCATACTTCACACATCACAGAGGCAAGCCACAGTGGATATGCATCATATGCTGGAGTTAAGACACGGAAACGGAGGAAGAAAACGAGGATAAAGAGCCTCATGATTATGACTATGCGATATGGGTTGATTAGACTTGAAGATATTGGAACCTTACGCCACAATGGTTGCCTAGCTTCAGCCAAACTGCAAGGTGCAAAAATGAAATTGCATGCATCATGTTTCAAGGTAATAATTGTTCTACAACATACATTTGAAGCCATAACTTACATTTTGTAAGGCATTGTAGATTCATGAACTCATAAGAAACTAAATTTATCACACTGCATAATGTGACACGTAACTATTTTTTATATTCTTACAAAATTGAACTGTATATGGTAAGTTCCTGAATCTTTCACATATTTTAAATGGATACCAAACTAGACTAATATCATGTATACAGAAGAATGAGATATTTTCAACTTATACTGAAAAGTGCACTTACAGGTAATCATCTTCTCCCTGGTCATCTTTGGCTTCCTCTTTGTTAAGAATACCTCTCTTTTTTTGCCTGGCTTTCCATTGCTCTAATCTTTCTTCCCATTCTCCATTACTGAAGAATTCCTTCTCCCCTTCAAATTCCTTACTAGCCACTGCAGAACAATAGATCAACTCAGACAAGCTTTCATAAATTAAAGATTATGTCCAAAAAAATCACCTACATTGAACATAATTAGCGATTGATCGTAACAGTTTTGACTTACCACTTCCTGCTGAAGATAAAGCTTGACCTTTCGGATGCCACTGCTGTTCCTTGTGGTCTTTATTTTCCTATAGAAATCACAGACAACCACTCAGATCTCTGGTTACTTCTATTCAATTAGAATAGCCACAGCAACACTCATTCATTTTAATAAATCCTAATCTGTGAAATTACATGAAAAGGGAAGGAACAATGTCTGCATTGCACGTATCATTGGAACTTTGATAAAAAATAAGAGCACAAGATTAGCATTATTGTACAGATAGCATATAAAGCGGGAGTTTGTGATGTATTATTGAATGTGATTGTATTATAATGCATCACTGTGCTAGTTTTGTGTTTGTATTATAAATTTAACGTGATTTTCTACTTTTGTTATTAAAAATCATGTGAGATATTTGAAAAATCGTACAAGAAGTAAGATTTTGCCATCATATTATTAAAAATTTACCCAATGATTGGCATCATGTTTCTCATCTGGATCATGAAAATCATCTGCATCAGAATGCTCCTCATCATCACCAGCTACTCTAGGACAACCTGCAGGGAAGCCAATGCCATATTATCACATTAGTTTTTCCAAAAAAAAATGAAGTTCTTACAATAACAACAACAATAAAGTAAAAAACCAACGATCATAAGCTAAGTTAACCTTTGTGGCGCTTATAGCGGGTGTTGCACTGAGGGCAGCACTGGTTCCCTTCACTCCTCTCATACTCATAGCAGGGTTGACAAACGGGAAAACTACACACATGGCAAGCCACAAAAAGCTTTCCATTTTCCCCATGTCCAATCTGATCACTACAAACTCGACACACTTTTGATGCAGATTGACGAGTAGGAGGTCGATGCTGTTATATCAGAACAAACATAGTAAACATCATAAGAAATAAGTGACTTTCTANGTTTGAGAACTGGGCCAGTTTGTTTTGGCAAGAAAGGATCAATTCTAACCCAAATCAAAGAGAAAATTGATGCCAAAAGAATTGACCAAAGGACAACAATAGTAGGAGTTCTGTTTTGCCTTCCCATGAGACCTTTGAGGAAAGGATATAAATGGACAATAACCCAGAAAGCAAAGAATACCTTCCCAAACAAAGGACCCCATGAACCATACCCATTGTTAATGGCATCAGATACTCCAGCCACAACTCCCACCATGTTCAAGATTATAAGAGTGGTTGGTGGGATCAGAAGTGTTGTCCACTTGAACAGGTACAACTCTCCAAATTCAGTATCATCTGCTGCTTTGGCTGTCACTGTGAAATTGGTGTCCACTCCTCCAAGAACCTTAAGGAGACCTTGGAATACAGCAAAAAGGTGAGCAGATACTCCTCCAATCACCCAAAATTGTTCATTGCGCCACCAGTCTTCAAGGCTCACACCACTCCACCTCAGCTCTAGCACACCAGTTAAAATGATGGAGATGAATAGAGCCATGAACCATACGCTGGCAAGGTTCGTCAACTGCAAAGAGTAGCACATTTGAGCGACTTATATTTGCATTCATTTATTTATATACTGTATGTAGAATCTCTAAAATCGATTGAATTTAAAATCTCTATTATATGTCGTGTTAAGATTGATAACAACCCAGAACCATGTGATAATTTCTGGAGCACTAGGGATGAAAGTGATCACAATAAAGCAAAGAAAACTAGTTATCCATGTAAAACGATGAAAAAAAGGATGTAACAGTTGTGTACTTACAGTTGGGATGATGAATTTTCCAGTGAGAAGACAAACTGCTGGAATTGTGCAGTATGCAAGTAGAGGGATGGAAGTGAATGGATAAACAATGGTATTAGTATAAGCCAACCGCTCCAGCCATTTCAGTTTTCCTCCATAGCCATACCACAATGGACAATGGCGACTAAGGAAAATTTCAACAGAACCAAGGGCCCATCTCAGAACTTGGTGTAACCTATCTGATAGATTTATTGGGGCAGATCCTTTGAAAGCGTCTCTTTTTGGCATGCAGTATACTGATTTCCATCCTCTACAATGCATCTTAAACCCTGTTAATATATCTTCTGTGACTGAGCCATATATCCATCCAATCTGCATGCAAACAAATTTGTCAAAAGGACTAACAGAACCAAATGAAGCATCACGCAAAACCAAAACTTCCTTCATCTTAAAAGATTAGTCTCATTGTAATTAATGAGATCGATTACCTCTTTTCCCCATTCAGTCTTCTCTTCATAGCCACAACTTATAACATGAATAGCTTCCTTAATTAGCGATTGACTGTTGGTGCCTTCAGGAAGTCCACCATTTTCCATCAAAGTGGACTCAATGAAAACTGGTGACTGCCCAAATCTCTTCTCAAACTTTTTTTGGGACATGAGGGATGATTTCTCTAGCTCGCCATACCCTTCACGCCCTTCTTCAATCTCTTCAAGATCAAGATCAAACATGGACTCAGACCCTTTCCTAACGTAGTTCTTCCCCATCATTTTCTTCTTCCTGGTGTATAATCTACTAAAGAGACCCCCTCTTCCACCAGATTTCTTCTTTAACTTGGATTTCCTCGAACAACCACAACAACAACACCATGAAGGCCAGCAGTCACAGGTCATCTTTGGTCTTTTCTCAGATACTGGTGGATCATATCCATATAGTGCCTGCCTATTGAACACACATCCAGTTCCAACATAAACTGGACCCTGAATCCCGTCAAGGGCTTTCATATTTATCTAACATGTAAGAAACATAGAAAACTCACATCAAATGTCATCATTGAAATGCTGTTTGCAGATACTAAGTTACATAGTTTAGACGAACGCCACTTACATCAAAGAATACAATATTTCGGTTAGCATATCTATCATGACGATCAATACCATCGAATCTTTGTGGAAATTGGACATAGCAGAGCTTCTTTCCTATCTGGGGGTCCATTAAAAAGCACATGGCCTCTCTTATAGCCTTGCTATTGTTTATGTAATGGTCACAATCCAGATTCAGCATGAAAGGTGCATTTGAAAGCACAGCTGAAACTCGAACCTTTAAAGTATAGACAACAAAGAAAAGTCATATTCTAGACATAATTTCTACTCTTCTTGTTATACATGTTACTATTTTGTACCTACCAAAGCATTCATAGCACCAGCTTTCTTGTGGTGGTTATAGCCAGGACGCTTTTCACGTGAAATATACACCAGCCGTGGCAGTTCCTTGCCTTCTACGTCCAGTGCACCACCACTTCCTAAATACACCTGCAATGGTAAGTTCATGAACCACATCACCAGAGAACCAGCTTTTCCAATCTAAGGAAAGAAAATTTGTAAATCATAAGCGTTATTATATTTTCCTTTTCTCTATTTTCTCGAAGAATTAACCAAGAGGGACAAAAATTATAGATATTCAAATGTTCCTATATTATGGTTTCTTTGTTCCATCATGATTAGACAATGAAGAATGCACAACACAAGAACTAGCAAGAGGATTTGAATCATAGCCAAACCTGAATCATTCCTGGATGATCACGAGTACTGTTGCCAGGCCAAGGGGTTCCATCCTGCATCACCCACCCGTCCTCAGGCTTCTTCTGAGCTTTTGCCACTAAGGAGTTAATTTTTACTTTAAATTCTTCATATTCTCTCTGCAGTGGAGAAAACAAAAAACAGAAGAACAGTTATAAATGAAGCAAAAAAATGATAAAGGATTTCCATTATATATCAAGTAGAGATTACCAACATCATGTTATGTTAGGTCTTTCGAAGGGATTCATAAAGAGATTGAACAGCAACATATACGAGTCCTTTTCATTAAATATTGTTTAAAATTTTCATTTCCACTCCGTATAACAGATCATAATAGTTTGATCATGTAATAATTTCTTAGAAACACGCAACCTTTTTGTCCTATCTTTATGGCCTACCTTCATGGCCCTTCGTTCCTTCACAAAGGTAGGCTGCACCTTATCTTTCAAGTAATCAATCTTCTGAGAAAAATAGAACTCCGGTGCCCTTGGCTCTATGCTATACTTCTTACAAAAAGGAACCCATCTTCGTGCAAACTCAGAAGTTTCTGAAAGTGCATCAAAAAGGAGCATAGACGCACCATCATCAGATACATAGCAACACACCTTGTCAACCGGGTAATCAACAGCCAGGATTGAAAGAACAGTGTTTGTTGTTATAATGGGAGGCTCTTTCAAAGGGTCCACAGTACTCACATAGACATCAACTGGGGCTAGAAGGTTTGGCTCCCCTTCACGCTCAAACCTCATGGACAAGCGATCCAAGTAAGTTTCACGAGTTATGGGGAACCATTTGGGGAACTGGTCAAGTATCCATGACAGTGCAAACCATACTTCACACATCACAGAGGCAAGCCACAGTGGATATGCATCATATGCTGGAGTTAAGACACGGAAACGGAGGAAGAAAACGAGGATAAAGAGCCTCATGATTATGACTATGCGATATGGGTTGATTAGACTTGAAGATATTGGAACCTTACGCCACAATGGTTGCCTAGCTTCAGCCAAACTGCAAGGTGCAAAAATGAAATTGCATGCATCATGTTTCAAGGTAATAATTGTTCTACAACATACATTTGAAGCCATAACTTACATTTTGTAAGGCATTGTAGATTCATGAACTCATAAGAAACTAAATTTATCACACTGCATAATGTGACACGTAACTATTTTTTATATTCTTACAAAATTGAACTGTATATGGTAAGTTCCTGAATCTTTCACATATTTTAAATGGATACCAAACTAGACTAATATCATGTATACAGAAGAATGAGATATTTTCAACTTATACTGAAAAGTGCACTTACAGGTAATCATCTTCTCCCTGGTCATCTTTGGCTTCCTCTTTGTTAAGAATACCTCTCTTTTTTTGCCTGGCTTTCCATTGCTCTAATCTTTCTTCCCATTCTCCATTACTGAAGAATTCCTTCTCCCCTTCAAATTCCTTACTAGCCACTGCAGAACAATAGATCAACTCAGACAAGCTTTCATAAATTAAAGATTATGTCCAAAAAAATCACCTACATTGAACATAATTAGCGATTGATCGTAACAGTTTTGACTTACCACTTCCTGCTGAAGATAAAGCTTGACCTTTCGGATGCCACTGCTGTTCCTTGTGGTCTTTATTTTCCTATAGAAATCACAGACAACCACTCAGATCTCTGGTTACTTCTATTCAATTAGAATAGCCACAGCAACACTCATTCATTTTAATAAATCCTAATCTGTGAAATTACATGAAAAGGGAAGGAACAATGTCTGCATTGCACGTATCATTGGAACTTTGATAAAAAATAAGAGCACAAGATTAGCATTATTGTACAGATAGCATATAAAGCGGGAGTTTGTGATGTATTATTGAATGTGATTGTATTATAATGCATCACTGTGCTAGTTTTGTGTTTGTATTATAAATTTAACGTGATTTTCTACTTTTGTTATTAAAAATCATGTGAGATATTTGAAAAATCGTACAAGAAGTAAGATTTTGCCATCATATTATTAAAAATTTACCCAATGATTGGCATCATGTTTCTCATCTGGATCATGAAAATCATCTGCATCAGAATGCTCCTCATCATCACCAGCTACTCTAGGACAACCTGCAGGGAAGCCAATGCCATATTATCACATTAGTTTTTCCAAAAAAAAATGAAGTTCTTACAATAACAACAACAATAAAGTAAAAAACCAACGATCATAAGCTAAGTTAACCTTTGTGGCGCTTATAGCGGGTGTTGCACTGAGGGCAGCACTGGTTCCCTTCACTCCTCTCATACTCATAGCAGGGTTGACAAACAGGAAAACTACACACATTGCAAGCCACAAAAAGCTTTCCATTTTCCCCATGTCCAATCTGATCACTACAAACTCGACACACTTTTGATGCAGATTGACGAGTAGGATGTCGATGCTGTTATATCAGAACAAACATAGTAAACATCATAAGAAATAAGTGACTTTCTAAGGTTCATAGTAACAAAACAAGTTATTTACACCAAAGGGAGGAGTTCAATACCTGGCCTGAGTCACTTGGGAAATGGGAATGAGAAGCAGCCATGGAGTTCAATGCCATGGTGAATCTGTTGTAGAAGTGGGTTTTATAAGAAACGGTGAAAGAGTTCATGTGAATAATTATAATCATACGGAAGAGTAGTGTGTGTATCTACCAAACTGTGCGTTGGAGAGTGGTTGGTTTGAGTCTAAGAGACGTAAGGGAGCGATTGGTGAGAATGTTATTTTGGTTTTCTTGCTTGGACTCAAAGGAGGCTTCTTTTCTGTTCTGCTTCTAAATACATCAACATGAAACATATTGAAACACTGATCATGCACCATGCACACAGCTACGCAAGTTTACATTTGTTTGTTGACAACGCCAAAAACAGAAAATGCACTAGGGGAAGGTGAAAAAGTGCAATGTGCACATGGAAGAACAGAGAGAGCAAGTCTTATAAAACAATCAGTAACTTGTGACTAAGTCTAGAGTTCCATGTTATACATTATTGGCCTTTTTTTCTTTGCTTTGGTCCTACTTCAACTGTTCACATACTGGTGTTTTAGTTAGAAATAAGCCAAACCCTCTCCTATCACATAGAAAACTCATTTTCTTTATATATCTTCGAGGATGCAGATTTGTCTCTGTTGTGTCTCATGGTGGACATACATAATACAAATTTCTATATTAAAGTGCACATAAAAACTTTTAATGTAATTGCGTTTTAGGTATCTTGAATTTGAAACATTTTGATTATAAAAATACTCACTACATAGCTGATTCAGATCATTTATAGCTTGCCCTTTAAATTAAATGGATTTTGACCCTTAAAAAATTATAAATAATATTATATTTATAGCAATTTATTAAGGAGATATACATTTTTGTATACAACTTTTTTTAGTTTATCCTTTTACTAATTAAATATTCTAAGTAACATAATTGTGTTGTTTACTCATGTTAATAAAAGTTTAACTAACTTACCGTACATTTTATCAAATTCTATTTAATTTCTCCTTTTTTTTTCAAATATGGTTATCCATAATCATCAGATTTTATATATATATATATATATATATATATATATATATATGAAAGGTTGTATCATTATTTAATTTTAACATATCCGTCATTGAAAGCATCATAAATGTTTTAGTTGGAATTTTTTAAATCATGTTAAACATTATTAATATGAAATTTTAACATCTCAGGACTACGATTCAATCATCATGCAACATTTATAAATTAGGAGAGTAGAAATAACAAATAGGTGTGGACTATGTGGTTTTTGGTAATTTTTCACAAAATATGTGATGGCATACCCTTGTCATGACCTAGAACATTCATGAAAAGTTGGAGGCATCTATGGAAAATGGACCTAGACTTTTTTTCTTGGGTCATCTTAAGTCATCATGAAGATTTCGTAGAGTAAGAATAATTTTTGGGCTAAGTAGTATAGATTTTATTTGGGCTTTGTATTTTGGGCCAAGTAGTCTAGATTTTATTTGGGCTTTGTATTATGGACCTAGTAGTGTAGGATTTCAATTGGACCTTGTATTTTAGGCCAAGTAGAATAGAATTATGACCAAACAAGTCAACAAAGGGCCAAGGCCCAAAGTTGACTATGTTTGGACATCCAAAATGGGTGTGTTGACCAAGGGGTAAACATTTTGGCTAAGCTTGGAGAACAAGGGAGAAGAATTTCGTCCTAGACATGTGGAAGCTTCCCATTGGAGAGTTTTCCTCCTAGTTAGTGATCATGTGTCACTCTAGGAATGGAGAGTTTTTCCATAGGTAGTGGTCACTTGTCACTCTCTCATTTGAGAGGATTTTTGCCACTTGTCTCCCTCCTATTGGAGAGGATTTCTCCTTGCTCTCCAAGCCAACCAAGGTAGCTCTTTTAGGTTAAAGTTTTAGCCCATTTTGAGACACCTTAGCCTATAAATAGAGGTGCTCTACATCATGTAATCACCTTTGATTTAGAGTAAAGTTATACTGTCATTTTTGTGTCATACTATTCTTTTAAGGTCACCCTAGGCTAGAGCAACCCAAGTGGTCTTCTCTAGCCACCTTCCTCCAAGAGTTGGTCCAACCTCTCTTAGAGAACCACCAAACACACCTTTCATCACCATTCAGACACCCAAAACCATGACAACGTCCACCTTATACCACTACCATTTTGCATTCCATCTAAAACCTTGAGCATCTTGTTCTTGTTGGCTTGGTTGCTTCTAAATTTGGCTTGTCCTACCTAGAGCATTGCCATCAATATATTAGGGAGATTCAATATCAATGAGTCACATGTCAACATATATAAAAAATTATAATACAATTTCTAATTTAAAATTTTAGAATAATAAATTTGAGTTTTTTTTCTCATTTGTTCTTTAACTTTCTTATTTTTATGAGATTCAAATTCACATTTAGATTTCTAGCAAACTCTCTATTAAGTAAGAGTTCTTCCCAAATTGGTACTTTCTCCATCAACAAAAACAATTTTTATCTAGTATTGATATTTATCTTAACAAGACATGTTTTTTTTCTGCCTTCCAAAAAAACTTTGAATACAAGGAATCAACAAACTTAGGATTCTCTATCTATATTAGATCATACTTGAAGAAAAGTCATTAGTTGTAATATCACTATTAGTTATTTCAAGGGAAAATATATTAAGGAGATTAAAAAACAAAGAATCATGAGTTGATCTATATAAAACATTACAATTACACCTCTAACCAAAAATATTAAAGTAATCCAAAGCCTAAACTTATCAATTATGACAATCTTGGTCAACATATTAGTTGGATTATTTGATCATGAAATCTCCAACAAAGACAAATTTCTAACACTTATCAGGTCTCAATATAATACTTCAAGTAATATGATTGCATATAAAATGAAGGCTTAGATTTTAGAAAGACATATAACATTCTAACTATCACTAAATAATAAAAAATCATCTTGCCTTTTTTCCAAATTTTTTGAGAAGGTTCTTCAATCATAATATCTCCTTGGCTGCTTCTAAGAAAGCTATGTACCTGACTTTAATGATTGAGAAGGAAGTGTACGAATGTATAAGAAACTTAGTCTTGAAAAGGATATTGTAAGGATCCAAGTGTTATTTTGAATCCTTCGTTGAATAAAAATGAGAAAGTTAAACAACATATACAAAAGAAAACATCATCAAAATGTTATATGAGTAAAACACTCATGGGTAGAACACTTGAATTTCAAGGAGTACTTTGCAATTTTTAATAAAGACTCACACTTAGAGAGAAAATTTATAGGAAATTTAAGGTGTGAATATGGTCACCCACTTTAGGTAGAAATGAGTGAGATAAGCAATATAAAATAAGAATGACTCATAAACACATTGTCTCAAGGAATTGAGTTGATATATTGTTTTAGCATCTCATATGGTTTACTCATGACTCATTAATGTCGAACTTTCCTAGTGTATCCCCCATTAAAAAACCTAACAATGTCCATTTCTCCACTGCTAATAAGAAAAGGTTTCACTATGTAAAACAAATGGGCTTTTATTAAGTGCTTCTAGCTATGACAAAAATATCTATGAGAAAAATATCTATGTTTGTGGGTTGCAAAAAAAAAATTGCGGCAAATAATTGGTACTCATAGGTATTTATTACTCACAAATAGTGGGTATTCTAATACTCGCTTATAAACGGGTTGAGTGCAGATATCATACTATCCGTAACCGCGAATATCCATTACCCGCAAAAAATTAAAATAAAAATTTAATTTTTATTTTATTAAGTTAAATTTAATTAAAATTAAAATTAATTTATATTTTATTAGGTTAAATTTAATTGAAATTAAATTTTAATTTAAATTATATTTTATATTTTTTTGTAATTTCATTTAGATTTATTTTAAAAATTTATAAAATATATTTTTTAAAATATTTGCAAGTATCTACGAGAATTTGCAGATTTTAAAATATCCAAAAGTATTTTTTAAGTGGATATCCGACAAATAACAAGATAGGTAACAAATAAATTTTTTTATTACGAATCAGAATTCATATCTGACACAACCCATCGTCATCCTACTTCTAATAAAGTTATATGTTAGTATGAGTTATTAACATCTAGCACCACATTTATCTTATAAAAGTTAAGGGCATTTATTCTTCAACTTTGTATTACACTAGTGCTCTTTTTGACAAATATTTAGAGAATATTACTTCAACAAAATGTTTAATATATTTTATTATTATTTTCTTACAACACTTACATCTTATTCCTTAAGCCTTTGTTCACTTGAGGGTAATTTACTATGCACGATGAAATGTGAAGATGGATTTCAGATTATTTTTGTGTTCGTTTTTAAAGATTTGTGCGCATTTGAAAGCGCAGATTTACAGGATAAAAGAATTTTTCAATCTTTCATCTATGCGCAGATTTGCAAGGATTTCTCAGCATTTACAATTTCACCCTTGAATATAGTGTGTTTAACTGAAATGATTTACAGGATGAAATAATAATAATAATAATAATAATAATAATAATAATAATAAAATAATAATAATAATAATAATATAATAATAATAATAATAATAATAGTTAACATTAATTTTTTATTCTTTATAAATATTTTTACAATTAAATATAACATTAACAATTATCATTTTATATTACTTTAATAATTAGGGGCATTTTGGTAATATTTAATTTCTACCAATTAAACAAATTTTTTGTCTGTCACATTAATGAAATCCTACACTAATTGTCATAAATTTTACTTCCAAATCCACTCTCATTTATTTCCAAATCTACTCAAATAAACAACAATTAATTCATCCCAAAATCTCCTCAAATACATCCACTCACTCTCTCTCAATTTCTCTCCCCCATTGTGAACAAAGCATAAAAAAATAATTTTAAAATGAGTCAAAATGAAATTGTAAGTGGAAACGAATGTATATTAAAGAGTGTCTATTGATAACATGGTTATCTAAACTTGTCAAGGTTATTATTTAACACTTCTTGAAAATCTATATAAGCTCTACAACACTAATCTGACATCTTTTGAGGACTCCTCTATTCATTTATAATATA